TCTCCAAACCCCTTGATGGCTGGACCCCAAAGCCTTTTCATCTTGGTGTCCCCTCGCTTCAGTCTCAGAACCTCTAAGGCTGAGTTGGCCCGGCCCCAGCCCCATGGGCAGAGTCCTGAGGATGGCCCACAGGTTTCCAGGACGTGTGTGCAGCAGTGCTGGCCCCGCCTTCTGGGGCAGGCCTGCCCCAGTCCCCTGGGGTTCCCGCGGTGCCTCCCTGCACAGGCAAGGTGACCGCATGAGCCCTCTCCCAACCCAGAGCCCTGAGACACTCCCCTCCTAGACCTCTGGGTAGCCCGGTGGCTGGCCTCACTGGGGACAGTGCTGGCCTCCCCCGGCCACAGTGACTGGGTCTTGAGTGTCCAGCCAGGAGGCCCCCATCTCCACTGCCTTGCCCCAAGGGCCAGTGGTCCCCCCGCTGTCAGCCTCCCTCTGCCCCCCATCTTTGCTTCCATGCCAGGCCTTCCCCTCCTCTACTGGGTGTCTGCGATGGCCAGGTCTGGGAAGGGCTCAGCTCTCTATGACCGGCATCCGGAGGCCCAAGAGGCAGGCTTGGGGGCGTTGGGGAGTGGGTTTCCGGTCGGCTGGTTTGGGAGAGGAAAATGGATCTCAGACTGTTTTCTTGTTAGTTTACCAGTTATCTCCTGCCGCGAGTGGTGGCGGGGGGGCAGCAGGGCGTTCTCGGTCTGCGGCCTCTCTGGGCTGGGTTTGGTTTTAGCTGCTGGCACCAGGAGGGACTTTGTGCACAGACAGACTCCTCCAGCGGCAGCCCGCGTTTTAGTTTCCAGCCACCCTATTATTTAAACCAGTGCTGAGTAGGCTTTGGGCCATGGTTTCGGAAAGCATTACCTGCTGGGCTCGCAGGTGACGAGGGGAGCTCGGGCTGGACCGAGCGTGTCCAGAAGGCCCCGCTCTCGCACACGCCTGCCCTGGAAGTGTGTTCCCCGGGAGGGGACCCTCCTTGCAAGCCACCTTCGGGGGCTCCTTCGCTTTCTGCAGGCTGCGACCGAGGTCCTGCTGACACCCGCAGCTGGTGTAGGTGCCCCCCTCCTGCTCTTCGGGGGTCCCTTTCCGGGGTCCTCTGGGGCCTCCCCGCTCCACACTGGTTGGCCACGTTGTGCTGCAGTGACACCGTAGCTCTTGCTCCCGTGTCAGGTCCCAGGGCACGAGATGGTCATGTAGAGGGTGGGCTCAGGGTAGGAGTGCCTCCAGAACTGGGAAGGGCGGGGCTCTGTCAGGGGGTGGGGGGCTGAGGTCTTGGCCTGGCCTTGGACTCTGGTCCCCCCACCCCCCGCGCCGCTGCGCCTGTCGCTGTCCTGTGCCCACCGCGGTCTCTGGCGAGGAAGCTGGCTCCTGCCCCATTTTATATTTCTGCAAGTTTACAGGTCGTGGTGCATCAGCCCAAAGTCATTGGCGTTGTGTTTTGGGTTTTTTTTCTTAGTTTTCAGATTTTTTTTAAACAAAAGTATTTTTTTAGGTGAGATAACCCAGAAAGGGCCTGTTGGGTGTGTTTGTATGTCCCGAACCCCTGACATGGAGATGGGGAGCCCCAGCCCCCCTTGGCTCCTGTGTGCTGGAAATGAGGGAACGGTCCTAACCCCCTGTGCATTGGGAGTGTGGGGGGATGAAAGCCCGCCCCCGTCGGATGGCATCTGGGCCAGCGAAGGGGGCCAGACCCCTGGCCAGCAAAGGGACCAGGGGTTTTGGGGTGAGTTGGGAGGGTCCCAGCTGGGAGGGTCCTGGCCAAGGGGCTGGAGCTGGAAGCTAAGCCCCTGTGAATGGCAACCTGTCCAGTCCTTGGCAGGACATGTGGGCGGCTGGACAGGGAGGGACGGCGGCTGACACAATCCCCTTTACTTTGTACTCTGTGTGTGTGTCTTGGTTTTCTGTGTTTTAATAAATCCTTTGGGAAAGGATTCAATCCAAGTGTTTTCCTAGATTCTCACTCATCTGGGATGAGGGTGGGAGCTGGAGATGGAGGAGGCCTTTGGGGGATGGGGGAGGTAACCCAAAGTCATCTCCTGCCTGAGAAGACATGGCCTCATGAAGTTGAGGGGCTTGCTGGGAAAGGGGAGCCCCAAGAGGGGGTGGTGCCTGTCTTTCCTGCCTGGACCCCCAGATGCAGACACAACACGGTATCCGAGAAACCCTGAGCCCCCAGTGGCACCTGTGGGTCTCACTGGATCCTGATCTCCCTGCACCCGGAGAGCACGGCTGCCTCCCAGCAACAGAGAATGTGTGTGTGGTGGGTGGTAGGGGGCACCCCTGTCCCCGAATCACCCCGTGAGGCTATGGGGGGCCTCAGAGTCCCCAGTCTCAGCCTCTCCCCTGGGGCCCTTTTCCCCAACTGGACCCTTTGCCCCAGGGTCAGGATTTCAGGGGGCCCCAGGCTGCTGGGCCCTGCAGGTGGCAGCATCCCCCCCAGGCCCTCCCCCCGCCTCCCCGCTGCCCACAGCCGGGCCCCTGGAAACGAGAGGAGCAGAACGCCGCAGACCCCCGACAGGCTGGGGTTTTATTTGTCATTCCATAAATACAGTGGCTGTATCTCAGCTGTGTCTGGAAGCAGGAGGCATGAGGCGGTCTCCGCCTACAGCTGGGAGTGCGGTTAGCTGAGGAGCCGTGGTCATTAAAAAAAAAGGGGAGAGAAGAAAAGCACATTATTTACACGAGGGGAAGAGGACAGAAGATGGAGTCCACCCCTCTCTCATTCCTCAGGACCTCGGGTTCCTGCGGGGTTTGGGGTTTGGGATGAGAAATGATGGGGGCTCCTGCGTGTCAGCAAAGGAGACTGAGCCCAGCCCTGCCCTCAGCCTGGGCCTCTGTCCTGTCCTGTGTGGGGCACTCCCCAGGGGTCTGCCCCAAGGGGAGGGCCAGAGGCTGGTTGGGGGTCAGCTGGGGCTCCTGGGGAGCTGCCCCTCCTGGTAGGGCCTGGGCCACTCCAGGGCCTGCCTCTGCCTGGCCTTCTGTCTCCAGAATATAGCTGCCCTTGGGACGCCCCCGACCCCCTCCCCCACACCAGCCCCCTTCTAAGTCGGGGGCCCTCCCCCAGGAAGCAGAGCCCTGTCCTCCCTGCCAGTGACCGTGGAAAAGAGAGGACCCCTCAGAACGGGGTTGTGGACGGCACTCCCGGGGCCAGGAAAGCTGCTTGGGTCCTGGCAATGGGCATTTCGGCCTTAGCCCTGCTAAACCCTGAAGGCCACCCTCTGGCAGACATGTGGCCTTCCCAGGTGTGGCTCCGGTTAAGGGGGGCAGCAGCCCCTCCCTTGGGCCCCACTGCAACCCATGGTCCATCCTCCGCAGTGGGCAGGCTGGGGGCAGCCATGTGAAGGGGGCCCAACCACTCCCCCAATGAGGGGTGGGCGACCTGGTCCCTCTGGCCACAGGCCGGAGGGGTGCCCTGCGGGGACAGGCTCGCTCCCTCCCCACACCCACAGTGTGCAGCCTGTAGATTTGGTGGAGGTGAACCCCCAGGGGCCTAGTCCGGGAGGAGGGGGGAGGATTCTAGACTCCAGGGTCAGCACAAATGTCAGGAATGGAAGTTGTGTCCCTCCCCGCCTCCCTGCTTGTGCGTGTGGCTTTCCGAGGCCTCAGCCCAGCCAGGACGGGCCAGCAGGCCCTCTGGGAATGGCAGGGAGAAGCTCCTCCGACAGTGGCCCGTCTAAGGGCGAAGCAGGCCTGGATGGGTGAGGGTGTGCGGGGTGGTGGGATGAGGAGCTGCCCGGACTGGAGGCACACAGGCTTCCTACGGCGGCGTGGGCTCCTAGCCCCAGCCCCCCACCTAGCCAGCAGAGGCCCATAGCTTGGGGCCGTGGGCACTGGGATTCCTGGCCGCCGGCCCCTCCCGTCCTCCACCTTCCCAGCCTGTGTCTGTCAGTTCTGTCCGTCCTTCCCAACTCCCTGTCATCGGCCTATTCTAGGCTGGGGCGGGGTGGGGGGTGGTGGTGCGCAGCAGGGAACCACTGACTCCAGAGGTCTTGACCTCTTCACAAGGGGGTGAGTGGAGGTTGGGGGCACCCAGACTTAGCCCCCTCACACGGGGTGCCTCACCCCGACCGGATAGGAGGCCTTGAGGAAGGCACGGCTCCGGGGAGAGAATCCTGGGGTCTTCTAGACTGTGGGAGCTCCTGCTAGACGTTTGGGTCCCCCAGCCCCGGGGCATGCAGCACAGGAACCCCCAGGGACCCACCTTCCCTGAATGGGCCTGAGTGTGGTCTCTGTGCAGACCCGAAGTCCACCCCCAGGTAGAGCCAAGGTGCACCCCTTTGAATGTGGTCGGTAGCCACAGTCCAGCTATGTACCCGCGACCTCAGGGCCTTCTGCAGCCAGGACTGAGGGGCAGTGGGACAGAGCACCTGGCCAGGAGGGCAGCTGGGGGCCTGGAGGGACCTGGGCTGAAGCCTGCTTGTCGTGCCCCTCCCCAGTGCTCAGGGCTGCTCTGGGCACGGGGTTCATGGCCTGTGGGCAGGGAGGAAGCCGGCAGAGCCATGAGCTCGGTTAGACCCCCGAACTTCCCGTGGGCCCCACTCAATAGTGGGTCCCCCTGGATCTCGGCCCCTGCCAGCAAGGGGGTTGCTGGGGGTCAAGGTACAGCTCGGAAGGCCCCTGGGAGACCCGTGGGGGGCAGGTTGTGGTGCTCAAGGGGCTGCAGAAGGAATCTGGGGTCAGGCCTAACGTAAAACGCCGGGAGCCGCCGGGAGCCCTTAACAAGAGGGAGGTGAAGGAGATACCCACCGGGGAGGCCCCGCCTTACGTCCAGTGCCCCAGCGGAGGGCACTGCGGGAAGAGCCAGACCTGGTTTCCTCTTTCCCACCCTGACACCAGCTGGGGGCTCTCAGGAGAGGAGAGGCCAGCCCTGCTGCCCCCAGGACCCAGCCGGGTCTCAGCCTGGCCTGGACTAGAGGTGTCTCTGGGAAGGGCTGAGGCTGGGAGCAGCGACAGTGGTTTCTTCCTGGGGGGTGAGCAGAGGCTGCAGGCGGGCTCGGGCGGGAGCACTGCAGCACCCTGCCCCGTCCGTGCGGTCTCCCCGGACGGATCTGAATTCAGTCCGCGAAGCAGCGAATGGCGTCTTGCAGCAGCTTTTGAGATCTTTTCCCCAAGGACATCTCGCCGTGATGTTTTCTTTTTGAGGCAAACCACACCCCGGACTTGGCTTCAAAACAGCTTAAGCGAGCGAACAAGAGACGAGGAGGGGAATGAAAGTGTCCAGGCAAGCGGCCGGGGGCTTCTTAGGATCGGTAGTCTTTTTTGCTGTAGGGTTTATTGCCCAAAATACTATCAATCTCGTGGATAATGGAAGACGACAGTTTCGGAAGGACCTGTGTGCAAGGACGAGAGCTAATTAGAATCCCACCAACAGGACTGGCATGACCTGCAGGGGAGGCTGGGTGACAATATTCTGGCCACCGTCAGCCTGTCCTGCCTCATCACACCATGCTTCTGCAGAAGCAGAGGTGGGCTATGCTGCTTCCGTGTTCTAGAAGGTCTGGGGCAGAGAGGAACACCCCCTGGGGTTTATCTCTGCGCCTCAAGCTCCAGAGTGCTCTAGAACCATCTAGAAGGCCCAAAATACAGATTCCAGGGCCAGACACCTGACTTCTGCACCCCCAAACTATTTTTCCTAGCCTTCCCTACTTCAGCCAACAGCAAGGCCGCCCGTCCAGGTGAACCCCACAGGCTGCCTCTGACCGTGCCTCTGTCCTGTTGGCCTCACCTTCCTGAAGATCCAGGATCCAAACCTCTCTGCGCAGGTCACTTCCCTGAGGATCTCCCTGCGCCCCCTCCCGGTCCCTAAAGCCTTTCCTCCACTCAACAGCGAGGAAGAGAGGGATCCTTTTAAAATGTAGGTGGGGGGCGCCTGGGTGGCTCAGTGGGTTAAAGCCTCTGCCTTCGGCTCAGGTCATGATCTCAGGGTCCTGGGACTCTCTGCTCAGCAGGGAGCCTGCTTCCCCCCTCTCTCTGCCTGCCTCTCTGCCTACTTGTGGTCTCTGTCTGTCAAATAAATAAATAAATAAAATCTTTAAGAAACAAATAAATAAATAAATTCTTTAAAAAAAAATGTAGGTGGGCTTTGGGTCCCTCCTCTGCTCTTGTCTCATTCAACAACCACCCAAGTCCCTAGAGCCCCTGGGCACTGCCCCGCCCCCTCTGCTCGAGACCCTGCCCCCTCCATCTCAGGCCCCGCCTACCGGTGCCCCGCCCCGCCTCCAGGTGTTTGCAGGTCCCACTCCCCACCGTCACACCTTCTGAGCCTTTGCCCGCAGGTCACTTTCTCAGCAAGCCTACCCCACGGCCCCCTTCAGCCTGGGTGCACGGCACCACGGCCCTCCTGCGCCCCCCAAATCTAACCCTAGCCCTGCCCTTGCTGTAGGGCCTGTCAGAGTCTCCTGTCCTCCAGGCCTGCGCTCGGTGCCCCGTCTGCTCTTCCAGAGCGGCTTCTAAGGGAGCTCTGCGGTAGCCCAGATGCTCACGGCAGAACTGGCCCACGGGAGGTGCCCAACAAACACAGGCTGAACCAAGGACTGACTGGGACCCTGAGTTCGGCCCTAGGGCCTGGGGGGGACACGCCCAGCAACCCCCTTCCCAACTCGCCTGTATGGCTCCAATGTTCTCCATGAGCTGGTCCGCGCTGGAAGCACCCAGGAGCACGGAGCTGACCCCCTCGTTCCTCAGGCACCAGGCTGGGGCAGGAAGACCAGAGGTGAGGGACACACAGCCAGTGCAGGGGCCCCTCCTTCTGCCCTGTCTCTGATGGGGCCACAGAGACCCGGCCTCTTGGTCGTGGTGCTGAGGGTGTCTGGGAGGGTCCAGCATGTTGGGGGGGGGCCTTGCCCGGGACTGGACAGGCTTCTGGCAGAGCCCTGGCACCAACTGCTTCCAGGGGGAGAGGTGGCCCCCGGGCTCAGGGATGACCCCCCCATGCTTCTCTCCCCATGAAAGTTGGAGCCCCATTACCTCTGGCTGGCTAATGGGGGGAGCGGCCCCGGCCCTCAGGGACTCCTGACATGGCTCCCGGGACAACAGTCAACCTACCCCCCAAGTCCTCGTACCTATGGCTAGCTGGGGGAGGGTGCAGCCCAGGCGCTCGGCGATGGCCTGCAGCTCCTTCAGCTTGGCCTGCTGGCGCCGGCCCTCCTCACTCAGGATCTTGTCCTTCAGCCACTGGTAGCCCTGATGGTGGGGTGTGGAGGGCACACAGGTGAGGGCAGGTCACCTGGACCCGTGTTTGCAGACGGCTGACACAGCATCCACACCCCCAGACCAGCCGTGCCCCCTGTAGAACAGAGCTGGGCAGTTGGAAGGACGGGGCCCATTGAAGGGGAAGCCCAGAGTCTGTGGGGTTGCTGAGGCCGGGCCCCTGAGCCAGGATGAGGAGCCTGGCAGCCTGGGAAGGAACGCTTTGGCCTCTGGCCCCGAGACCAGAGCTCTGGGGAGCTGTGGTCTCAGCTGCCCCCAACCCTGACATTGCAGTGCCTTCTAGGGGACTCCTTGACTCTGCTGTGGACTGCGCAGGAGTGGGGTGGACAGGCCATCCTCGAACCCGAGGCAGGGGGCTCTGGGGCTGGATCTGCCCTGACCTGGGTAGGCCTTTCTCTGCCTGCTCCTCCTCCCCCAAACCCTGCCTTTTGGAGACCCTCCCGCGTTCCCACTGCAGAGATGTGTCTGTGTGGGTGGGGGGACTTGTTCTGGATCACCTCCGGGGAGCAAAGGAAGCAGGGGGTATCTGTTGCGGCAGGGGCCATCCCAAACAGCACGTGTGGACCCGGCCCAGGCCTTGGGGGTGGGGCGTGGTGGGGCTGGCGAGGGATTGGAAGCGTTTGCAGCCAGGGCAATCCTGTGACGGGGGCAGCCCTTCCAGAGGCGGGCTCTGGTTCCCCTGCCCTGGCTCCGCCCCCAAAGTGTCCCGTCCACCCCGAATGCCTGTTGCCTGCCCATCCCCTCCCCCGAGCCTGGCCGCTCCTTCACCTTCAAGGAGGCTCTTGAGTAGGGTGGGATGCCACTGTCGTACTTTCCGGAAACGATGCCGCAGGCCAGAGGGGACCAGGTCATGGCGCCCACTCCTGGGAGAGGAAAGCCAGGCGAGGTCAGGCCCAGGGCTCCAATGCAGGGGGCGGGGGTGATGGGACAGAGCAAGGGAGAGAGGAGGAGGGGTGGGTTGGGGGGCGAGGGGGAAGAGGAACTGGGGGGCGGGGGGCAAGGGACAGGGGAGAGGCGGGGCCGGAGGAGCTCACCTATCTTGTGGAAGAGCTCGGGCAGCTGCACCTCCACCTTCTCGCGCTGGAACATGTGGTACTCCGCCTGCTCGCAGATGGGCGGCGTCAGGTTGAATTGCCGGGCCACGGAGTAGGCCTCCTAGGGAGCAAACGGGCCACGGAGGTCCCCGCCGTCAGCAGGTCTGAGGGCTGCCCGGGGGAGCAGGGGCGGGAGACACAAAAGCCTCCCCGGGAAGCAGCTGGCCCGCCTGCCCTCCCCGCTGCCCCTCTCTGGGGAGATTCATGGCTTTCCTGGGGAACTTAGCCTGTCCCCCCACCCCCTCTACTGGGAAAGGGGGTGAACCCCACAGCTGAAGGCACGGGGGGAATGCACAACTCAGCAGAGAGACTCGGGTTCTGGCACTTATCGGCTGGGAGGCCTTGGACAAGGAGCTCGCCCCTCTCTGCCTCAGTTTCCCCATCTGTGCTGACGTTGGTCACAGCCTTCAGGACAGTGCCTGCCTGCTGTGCGGTGACTGTTTTTATCAGGGTCACGACTCCAGAGCCCCAGCCCTGGGATGACAGTGGCCGTGGCAGGAAATGCTACGCCAGGAGGGGAGAGTGGCCGGCAGTGGCCCATTTCTGGGACTTAGAGCTCAAGGCCCGGACTCCGGAGACTCTCCCTCCGCTTCCACCAGATGGGCGTGAGCCAGGGCTGAGGTCTCCAGACAGACTACGGGGAAGCCCTGCCTGCCAGCGGGAGACGCCCTTTCCCCTTTGGTTTGAGATTCAGCTACTGCATCTGTAAAATCGGGGTAAGACACAGCTCGGTGAGCTCCGGGCTGGCTCCAGGCAGCCTCGGGAAAACGCCACATGCTCAAAAATGCTGCCAGTGCCAAAGGCAGATGAAAACCGCCGGCATCTAGAATTGTGTTAACTTGGAAATTCTGCTTAATATTTTTGAACAAGCAGAAAGCTGGGACTCACCAGAGGAGAAACCCCCTCCCAAGGACCCCAGGATGTGGGGAATTCTGGGAGGAGCAGCATGGGAAGGGTGGAGGCTGGGAGGGCATCTGGAAGCAGGGGTGGAAGGTCAGCTTGGAGACGGTCCTGGCAAGACCCAGACTGCTGCTCTCCAAACCCCTGGGCTCCCAGCTGCCTGCCTCTGAGGGTGGGGGGCACCCTGCTGACCCTTCTGGGGTACCCAGAAATACCAAGAAACATCCGCTGGCCTCTGTCTCTGCTGGCTCCCTGGAGGGAAGGGACTGGGGAGGAGAGGCTTTCCTGAAAGTGTGGGCGAGGGGAAACATCAGGGATTAGGAGATGGAAGCTGGGCTCCCAGCCGCGGCTCATGTTCTGAGGCAGCCCAGGCCCAGAGAACTGCAGTTTGGAGACTGACCTCAGCACGTGCTGGGTGACCCTGGGTGTACTACTTAACCTCTCTGTGCCTCAACACCCACATTGGAAACACAGGATGACAGCAACATTGACCCTGTAGGGTGCTGTGAGGATTAAATGGGAGTTAGTCCACACGAGCCCTCAAATCTAACGGCAGCAGGAGCATCGCAGAAGCTCAGGGCCGGTGGCTGAGCCCAAGCTCGTCTGCAAAGGGTCACACCTGTTCTCGCAGAACAGCCTCCTGGGGGGGGAGGAGCTAGGTCGTCCTAGTGGTCTTGTTCTACAGGTGAGGAAACCACACTCAGAGAGGTCAAGCCATCTGCCCAAGGTCACACAGTGCTGGGATTCAAGAGCCCTGCCTGCGGAGGTAGCTGCCACACGTCACCAAACCCTCCCTCGCTGTAGGAGCCAGTCAGTTATCCGTGCCATGGGGACCAGTGGCCCTAGATTTGCCATTCATCCCTAGAAGGGGGCTGGGAGCCCACGTTCCACGGATCCACACACGCGGAGAGGTCGCCACCGTACCATGATCTCCATGGAGCTCCAGCGCGACGTGCCCCAGTACATGGCCATCCCCTGGTTGATGACATGGGTCATGGCCCGCACGGTCTCTGCAGGGAGAGAACGGAAACTGCGGGTCGGGGGTCAGGTGGCCAGGAGCGTGGGGCGCAGCCTGGGGACATTCTGCAAATACAGTTGGGGCACCGGGAGGAGGGGGGAGCTGCAAAGGTGTCTTGCAAGCAGTGTACTTCCTGGCTCCAAAGTTGGGTGTGGTGGGGCCGTTCAGGGACCCCGGGAAGAAAAGCGAACCACAATCCAAGAAGCTGGTCTCGGAAACAATTTCCCCAAACAGTTACAAGTCTTTGTAAAGGATCTTTGAAAAGCGGGTTCTAGACGGACTGTGGCGTCTCTGTGGCACACTGGAGTGACGAGGGAAAGGTGAGATCAGAGAATGTGGGTTTGGACTGTCGAGTGGGGAGGGCGGGTTCTCTTGTTTGGGGACAAAACAGACCGGCAAAAGGCATCAGGAAGTCTTCCGATTCAGGCTATGCCAGATTCGCACTGGGATCTGAGACTGAATGGAGAGGTCACAGCGGCCTCTGTCACGACCAAGGGCAGGGCGGGGCCCTGGATGCTCCCAGAGGATGGGGGCTGCGGAGGGGAGCTCCCCTCGTGTCCCCCAGAGCCGGAAGTAGACACGGAAAGCCCTGTTTGTATCCACCCCAGTTCTCAAACCCGCCCGGTGTCAGGCAGGGGAGCCTCACCCCCGCGACACGATCAATTCTTCCCAGTACTCGGAAAAGTTTTTGAGAAATAAAAATCTGCCGGTGACAGCCTTCCCACCACTCCCACGCCAGGCGGTTTCCGTCCACGGGGACGTTGTGGTTTTTAAAACAGACTTGGCCTCCAGCTGAAAAATTTCGAACTGTCTCGCAGCTTTGCAGGGGGAAGGGCTACTCGTCAGATCCTTCACTGACCCATACAGTGCTTGCAAGTCCCACGGCCAAGGGCAGGGCGGGAAGTAGGGCTGAAGAACAAGTGTGTCCAGAAACGAAGCAGCAACCTTGACCCCTGGAAGTCCCGTGTCTCCCCAGGTGGCCGGCTCCTCATCTGCCGAGATGGGGGTGGGGGCTGGGGTCCCCGAGACAGCAGGGGGTGGGAGAGCCCAAGGAAGGAAGAAGGCAGGCTTTGTTCCCAAAGCTCCCCCACCACATGGCACGGGCCCTTTCTCCTGCTGAGAGCTGCCCCTGTTTGGGGGCGTCACTTCCCACCCACCCTGGGTCCTCGGGCGCCCCTCTGGCCGAGGGCCCCTCTTTCAGTAGAGAGCTAAGATAGCCGGGGCTTCTGGGATGCTGGTGTCAGGGGTTCACCCAGGACCCCTGAAAAATCACACGTCAGCTTCCAGGCCTGCAGGCCAGTCCTGCCCTCTCCTTCCTTCCAAGATCAGGGACTGGGCTCCTCTCTGCCTCTCCTCAGGAGGAGGGCTGGCAGGGAAGCCTGGACACCCGCCCTGACGCCCGGGGACCGCCAACAGGCCGCGGGGGTTTGAATGCCAACACCACCCAAGGCGAAGGAGACCCGCCCCGTCAGAAGGCTTAGGGGCCCCAGGAAGGGATCCACCTACATCCCAGGCTCCCTGCTGGCTGTCCTTGTCACGCTCTTTAGGAACACCCTGAGGGGATGCTGGTGACCAGCCAGCATCACATGGCTCTCTCCAGCCAAGGCTTGGGCCTACATGCCTGAGAGGGAAGTGGGGGACTCCCCTGTCCACTAGCCCGGCTGCCTGTCCATCCCGGGAGCATAGCTCTCTCCTGCACCGCCCCTTCCGTGCAGAGATGGGAGTCCCCCAAGGGCCTGGGGGGACCGGCCACCAGGGCAGGAGCCTGCGAGAGCTGGAGGCTGGCATGAGAGAGAAGGGGTCCCAGGGCAGCGGCCGGCGGGGGTGCAGCCCACACCCGAAGCACGGCACTCTGTGCTGCTGTGCCCTTGTCGGTGACCCCAGGAACAGGGACAACTAGGGACAACATTCTTCCCCTCAATATTTAATGCCGTTGAACAGAAGCGGGCCCGAATCCATCCAGCCACTGTCAGAACCCACAGTACCTACTGTCTCATCACAAATAATACATGGGAGGGGTCAGGTGGCAGTGCCAGTTGGCAGGCAGGAGCCCGTCCACTGTGGGCTGTAGCCTGGCTCCCGGGGAGACCATGGCCTGCCCTTGGTGTGGGGTCCTGGGCAGGCCATTAGCTTTGGGGCAGGCAGAGACCAGACATGGCCAGGGGCTGCTCCAGGTCTCGAAGTTTTGGCAGCTCGCAGAGGTATTGTTCAAGGAAAGAAATGACTCCGTTTTGATGGAGGGCTCGGGCTGCACGGCAAGGGTGGGGGGAGCGGCCGGTGGCTCAGCCCGTCCAGGGGACGCGAGCACCACGCGCGGCCACGATGCTCATGGTGGAGACGGCTGTGACGGGACAGCTTGCTTCTGGTGGGTTTTGCTTCTGCTTGAGGCTGGAGCTTAGCAAATGTGCCCCATGAAGTTAAGACTTGTTGGAAGCCATATGTTCCGGGGTCCCTGATGTTTGCTCCGTGGGCCCCCGGTCTCTCCAACCCTCTCCCAGACCATCCAGGGTCAAGGTTTCAGGCGCTGATCACAGCATCCCCAAATCAAGAGGAGCCCTGGCAGACAGACAGCCGCCCCCCCACCCCACCCCGAGGATCATGGCAGTGCAAGGCGGGGGTGGGGCGGGTGGGCACGGGTCATGCACGGGGGTGGGGGGGCAGGGGAGGAATGAAATGACAGGCGGGCCAGGCAGGGGCAGGGGCTCCACACCGCTTTGCTTTTCCTTCACTTGCAAGATGTTCTCATAGGGCGCTTATGTTTCCTTTATGCATTTTATGGAGAAGTTTGTCTTGGGGGGCAAGAGAGTGGCGTAAATAAAACCACCGTCTCATAAAATGCAGGTCGGACACGGAGTCAATAGTCAGGCTAAGGGCACTGTGTACCTTCTATGATGAATGTCCTTGACTTGGAGGAACTAAATGGGTCCCCTGGTGATAAAGAAAGATTTAGAGAGACCAGAGTTTATAGCTGCGGGAACACTGAGAGGCGCAGTATGACAGAGGGCGGGGAGGGAAGCACAACTCTCCTTCACGGAGTACTCGTTTCATCAAAAACAAAACAAAACAAAACCCCCCAAAAACCAAAGCACACACACCAAACCGAACCAACCCCCGCACCGCACACACGTATATATACACGCACGCGTGCGCGGTATATATAGAGACACAGATGAAGGAAAGATAACTTGAACACAACCTAATTTTCCAAATCCCTGAAGCAGCAAAGCACAAATGAGTCTGAAGCAGGAAGTGGGGGGAGTGGGGGGGCATGGGGGACTGCGGAGCTGGCAGGACTGGGGAGAATAAATAAGGGCCAAAGAAATCCAAACTGCTTTTCCAAGCGCGGCACATTTTTTTTTTTCCTCCTCTAAGTAACAATTTATTCCCCAGAGCGAAAGACCCCGCAGAACGGGAATGTGACTGAAAGGAACACAGCATTGCAAAGAGCCATCATCTCGTGACTTCGTTTAGCTGCAGAATATGAACAGCTGAGAGGAGAGAACATTGCACACAGTTCTAAACCCAGGCGGGGGCACGGGGAGCAGGCGTGGACCCAAAGCCAGGACGGGGCGGGCGTGAGCCTAGAGGCGCCAGGGCGCACCTCTGGGCAGTGAGGGCCCTCCTCGGCCCCCCCCACCACCTCGGCTGAGCTCACCCCGCCCCCGCCCGCCCCCACCAGCTGCCTGCGACCAGCAGCCTGGGTGCCCTGCAGGGCCTGGCGGTAGCAGCCTTCAGAGAGAACCTACCTTCCATGGGCGTGTTGGGGTCTGGGCGGTTGGCAAACACCACGTCCACATACTCCAACTGCAGCCGCTCCAGGGAGGCCTTCAGACCTGGGGGAGGGGACAGAGGGGACCATCACCGTCAGCAGGAGGAGGGAGTCGAGGCCCGTGGCGCCAGGAGCTGTCGGACTGTGTGGGGACATGTGTGGGCACCTGATGTGCCCCACCTGAGCGAAAAAAAAGCCAGGACTGAAGGGGGCCCACACCCCAAAGCTGGTGGTGGTTGGGTCTGTCGGCCAAATGCTCTGTGACTGAATGAAGGGGTGGACTCCCAGTCCCCCAGGTAGCCCATGGGGTGACAGGGAGAGCTGGGTCATCCCACACGGAGGGGAAGCTGTGCCTGTGTCCCCGCACCAGTGAGCCCTTAGCAACAGGGCAAAACAGGGCTGCAGAGTCAAGGCCTGGGGCTGGGGGTGGGGAGCACAGCCTCCTCATCATTTAATTTAAAAAAAAAGAGAACTTATTTGAGGGAGAGAAAGCCAGAGAGAGCATGAGCAGGGGGAGTGGCAGAGGGAGAAGCAAGCTCCCTGCTGAGCAGGGAGCCAGATGTGGGACTCGATCCCAGGATCCTGGGATGGTGACCTGAGCCGAAGGCAGACGCCCAACCGACTGAGCCCCCCAGGCGTCCCTTATCATTTGATTTTTAGAGGAGGGAGTGTATTACCTTGATGGAAATGAGCACAGATGGAAAAAGCACGAAGACAATATAATCACAGGATAAGCCAGACAGCATGCCAGACCCCCACCCCCCCATCTCTCCTCTCTCAATAGTCCTGTGTTCAGAGTGCCGGGCTCTGTCGGACATGCCCCTCCTGGGTTCTTCCCAATTCTCCAAAACCCCAGAGGTGGGCACTCTTCCTACACCCATTCTACAGATGTTGCCACAGGGGCTTGGGGAAGCGAGGTCCCCTGCTCAGGATCCCCAGTCAGCACAGGGCCCAGCCCCGCTTGCAGCCCAGGCCTGTCTTGTCTTCTCCAAGGCATCACTGCCCATCTGAGGGCACCTGAGATCCTGCTCTCGTGCTGCGGAGCCTGGGTAGAAGGAGAGGGTCGGCCCCCGAGCATGGGGTGCATTGGTGGTGGGGTGGGGACACCTGGCTTTCTTCACTCGTGCACCGGCAGGAGGATGCCGGGGGTGTGGGGGGCCGTGTGGGGCCAGAGCCCCCCCCCTCACCTTCTATGATGTGCTTCCTGGAAAGGCCTCTCTCGGTCTCTGCTCTGAAAAACAGGACAACAGCGTGTGTGATGTTGCAAGCGGTTTTGGGGAAAATGTTTATGATGCAATGTTAGGCAAAAAAAGTAGGTCAGTGCATGCCACGTGCAGTCTGATTCCACTTGGGGGATTAGCCAAAGGATGTGCTCGCTCAGGCTGGGAGAAGGGCCGGGGCTGCCTGGAGGTCGGGGCAGAGGGTCGCCACAGGGGAGGAGGAGGTGATTCAATTCTTCCTTCTGTTTCCCTTGGATTTTTTTGTTTTTTAATTAAGAATCAGGCCCATTTAGAATTCCTATGAAGCCGATTTTGTCCAGCCCTAGAGAGAATGCGGGCCCAGCCCCGGGAAACTGGCAGGGGTGGTCTGTGGTCAGGGAGGGTGGAAGAGTTTAGACAGTTCGTGAATTTCCTGTGTTTTCCAGAATGTTTAGGATGTTACCTTTGTCATCAGAAAAAATAACAAATCCACAAAAGTAAAAATAACCAACACGGTCTGAGTAAAAGGCAACTCAGCCAAAGCTGCTTTTCTGGAAGGTGGGCTCAATAGGGACGGGCACCAGCCAGGGGAGACGGCTGCACGCTCGCTCCCAGGAGCCCCCAGATCCTGACCCCAGCCCGGAGCATCGCCTGCCACTGCACCTACTTTCCTCCCCAGAAGATCTTGGTGGTGATGACCAGGCTGGACCGTCTGTGGAACAGAAGAGAAAGGGTGTTACCGGGCGCGGCTGCGGTGGGGGGTGTCACCTGCGTTCGGAGGCTCTGGAGCACCCTTCTCCTCTGGGAGCTTGGGGTGGGACGCAGGTACCTCTCAATCGTTCCATGTTTGGGGTGTGCGAGCCCAGGGTCCTGGGGCTCCCAGTCGAGCCCCGAGACAAGCCACAGATGCAACTAACTCACCGTGGAACCCAGAGTCCGGCAGTGGGGGCCAGGAGAGGGTGGTGTCTGGTGCAGGGGAGCCCCAGCGGGAGATGCACCAGGGGAGGTGCAGACGGACCTGGTCTGGGGGACGGAAGCCCCCGCCACCCAGGCCCCGGCTCCAGTGGGTTTTGTCTGAGAGGAAGCAGGTGCAGGCAGCGCACTGCCAGGAGGTCGGGGAGGGGCTGCTGTGGACAGAGGGGACGGACGGACGGAGGGGCTCTGGTGAGGATGGAAGGAGGCAGTGAGGGGCCCGAGCAGTCTGGTTGTCCCCCCACAGGTCAAAGACAGGCTTCCAGAAAGCGCTGTGTGACACAGCCTTGGAGGGGGACACTGAGGGAAGGACTGCTGGGTGGGGCAGGACCCTGGGTGAGAGGGAGTCGGGGTCTGGGTGATGGAAAGTCCGGAGGGAACGGAATGGATTCAGGTCTCCTGCAGGAAACCCTCAGGAGCCACGTGGTGACACCTGTCTGGTCCTGGTGCAATGGGTGGCCATAATGATGGCCCCTCCAGGCCCCAGGTGGTCGAGATCCTTCCCAAAGAGGGGGGTGCCAATGTGCTTTCCTCCCGTGGGGGCAGGGGGGCTGCTCTGAAGCTGTGTTCCCCTTGGGCTGCAACTGCAGGCGGTGGGGGTGGGGGCTTGTGACCTAACGTGTGTCTCCCTGTGTGCTCCCCTAAGACAGAATCGGGGCATTCAGTAACATGAGCCATTTCCGTTAGTTACGGAGTCAGGAGGAATTTGTTCTGTGATGAATTAGAGCCGAGAAGAAACAAAGTACTTTGCTGGGGCAAGAAGAGGGGTGTCAGTCATCTGTGCCCAGAGGCTGAGGAGTGGGGGCCGGGCCCAGCTTTACAACGCCTCTGTTGTCCCTGAAAATAAAGACACGTGGGCTCCAGGGGGGTCCCAAAGTGCGGGCAAGGGCCCAGCCCAGTCTGTCCCAAAGGGTGGGAATCCTGCCTGACCAGGGACCTCAGGCTTCTGAGCTGCTTGGGGGCCGGTGGGGGCACCTGGTGGGGGGCTGTGGTGACCAGTCAGGGGGCTGCCCCTCCCCAGGTGAGTGTGATGTCCAGCCTTGAGCTGGTGTCTTACAGACTCGGGTCCCTGAGCCCTAGGACAGCCCTGCAGAGAGCTCAGACGTGGTCCCTCTCCAGTCAGGGACAGTGAGAATGTGTAGATTCCAAGCCCAGAGAAGGACTGTCCCTCTGTTCAGCAGCTGTACCCTCTGCTTCCCCCAGGCCACCCGGGAAGTGCTCATCTCTTTTGGCTGAACACATGTCAGTGTGCGACCCGGGACCCTGGCCCTCTGGATCCCTGCTGGACCAGAGGTGGAGGGCAGAGGCGGAGCGGGCAGAGCAGGGCACAAGGGCCTCGGCTCGACTTCCCTCTGCAGCACAGACTCCTCTGGTCTTGCAGAACTCAGGCCGGCACCCCACTGACGGACCCGGCAGAAGCTTCCCACCTCACCACAGCCCCACACGGTGCAAATACGCTCTCCCTGTGCAGGGAGCACGGGGCTGCCTCCTTTCTGGAACATTCTCCCCTTCCTGGTGAGAAAATTCCTGACACTTCCAGGCTTTAGAAGGACTGGCTGGCTGCCCAAGGGTCACCGAGGGCAGCCCTGAGCCCCCTGGTGCCAAAGAGGCAAGAACGGCAGCGGGACCTGAGCCGACGCTCGCGCAGGAACCGGTGCGCATCGGCCCCTCGCGGCGCCCCCTTCCCTCCCAGCGGCCTCCTTTGGGCTTTCCCTGTGTGCACCCCGGACATGGACCCAGACAGAACAGGGTAATTACCTCCATCCCTTCTTCTTGATGATGTTTCCTAATACCACTTCAGCCCTGCAAAAAAGACCGAGACGTGGGGATTTCATTAGAGCATGACCGAGACATTCAACCTCGCCCCACCGTGACAGCCGGCCACGTGGTCCCCTCCGTGAGGATGCCACTGAGGCCAGAGGGCCAGGCTGCTAACAAGGCTCGTCTTGGCTTGCGCACTTCACTCCAGAAAGAGGAGAGAGTCTGCGGGAGGCTGTCGGTCCCCATGAAGGCGGCCGCGGGCGGTGACCCTTCGGGCGCCTGAGTGGAAGTCGCTCCCGCTCTTCAGAGAAGGAAGGAGCTGATGTCCGGCTTGGCAAGGCCAGCGCCATCCCATTCCCAAGTGTCCGGGCCAGGGGCTGAATTTCCCGCAGGGCGCGTGCGTGTGTGCGTACGCGCGCGTGCATTCACGTGTGTGGGCACGTGCGTCGCTCTCGTGTCTTGCTTTCGGACAGTAGAGGGACAGATGCCGCGCGGCCTGCTCTCCGTCCTTTCTGGCGTCGCTCTGGCCCTGCCCCAGGCTCGGGCTCGCGGGGTCTCGGGCGGGCTGCCCCAGCCCTGCTTGGCACTGCGGGGCTGGATTAACTCTGAAGCACTTTCTGCTTGTAGCACAATGTCTCTGAGCAAAAGCAACAGACGGAGAACGATCCGTACCCAGCGCTACATCCCGGTCGGGAAAGTGCCTGAGTCGTGCGTTCAGGACTAATGGGCTCGAATTTGCAAGCTGTTTGGCGCACACTGTGAACGCTCTTGGTCTGTGGCCAAGATGTGCAGAAATTCACTCAGCCCCGGGCCTCTTCCTTTGATTCCTCGGTCCCTCGTTTGTGGGACAAACAGATGGGAAAAGGAGGAAGGGAGAAAAGCCAGTGGTGGTCCTGGGGGTGATGGGAGCTGGAGGAGAGCAGCTAATCCCAGCCTGTGGCTTGTGGCTAGGAATTCCCGTGGCCCTGAAATCTGGTGAGCCTGACATCTGCGGGGGAGGAGCGGGGCACAGGAACCCCGTGGCTCTCTGCTAAGTGCCGGATTAGCGTTAGCGCCAGCAGCAGGGGGTTCAGCAGAATGGGCACTTGGCACTTGGGGGAGCAAGAGACACAGCGCCCAGCCCACCGGCCCCTGGAGCTGCCCGACAGCCCCCTGCCCAGAGCCTTCCTGCCCGTCCCTTGGGGCACAGTGCCCAGCCTCCTCCATGGGTGACTGCTGGCACCGAGGCATGGCTGGGGGTGGGTAGCCGGTCCAGCTCCGGGCTGGCCTGAGAAGGAGCCGCTGGGGCCCCAGAAGGAGTGGAGGGCGGGATGAGGGCCATGGGCGCCAGGGGCAACACCACCCCCCGGGAAGCCGCTCTCGGAGTCCTCGACAGCAGGTGCCCCAAGGCTGCCTATTGCTGATAAGTCAGCCCTGGGTGTCCAGTTAATCAGGGGGCACAGAGAGTGTGGAGTGTGTGGTTGGTGTGCATGGGCTGGGCCCTTGGGGGCCAGAGGCGGTGGCACGGAGTGGCTTCCTGCACGCTCTCATGGGCAGTGGGGCCGAAGCACGGGCTGGGGTGCAGAGCCCGGGGAGCGCCTGTGCGCTTGGCAGGGCTGTTCTACCTCTGATCCTCCGGCTTTAGTTCATCTGTCTGGAAAGCGTCTCACTTTCCTGGGAAGAGGCCGCCAGGACGGAGCGCTGGGAGGGGCCGGCGCATCCGGAGGGGCTGAGGGCTGCCGACGGGGGCTGGAGGAGATCTTGGGGCTCCCCGGGGAGGTCCCCAGAGCCGTTAGGTCCTCAGACCCTGGGTAGGGACTGGACAGCACGTCCAGCTGGCTTCCCATTCTCAGGGCTCTGGGCCCTATTGCAGGCTGCAGGTAATGACCCAGAGCCTTCGAGGCAGGTGCTAGCCCCGGGGCCACCGTGCACAGCCGGCCGGGCTGCAGCCAAGCCAGCTGATGGGAACTTGGCTCGGCCCAGGCAGGAGGGGCCGGAGGGAGGATGAACAGAGAGCCAACAAATGACTTCACAAACAAAAGCTGACTTTTGGAAACCCGATGCAGGAGAGTGGATGATTTGATTACCGCTAGTCTTTAAAATTGGAGCCAGCAGCCTTGGCTGAAGAGGGCTTTTACATAATTGAGGAGGGAAGTTCACTGCCAAGATGGGAGTGCTTCCTGCAGGGCTAGGTTGGCCAGACTCTGCTCTCTGCAGCTTGAGAGGCCTCACGGTACCATTAACACATGAGTATGTCAGACTCGCGGGGCTGGCTGCAGGAGAGCCCGGGACCGCAGCCTGATCTGGCTCTTGCCCAGCCTGGCATCTGAGGCACCAGAGGGACTGTGGTCATCTCGGGGTTTGGACACACGGGGAGTTTAGCGAGTGGCCAGTGTCCAGGCGTCCTATAATTTTGGCCCCAGGAAAACAACACCTTCTAAGGCCATTCTGAGTTTAAAAAAGCAGGCAGAGTGTGAGGCACGTTTGTGGGCGCTTGGGACCGGGGACCAAAGCACTGGTTCTTCCCAGGGAAGCTGTGGCCCGCACCACATCGTCTCCACGAGAAAAGACACGTACTTGCCAGCTGCGTAGACTTCTGCGGTATCGAAGAGGTTGATGCCATTGTCATAGGCCAAGGTCATTAGCTGCTCTGCCATCTGAAACGAGAAAACCAGAGCCGCTGTGGGCAGCACAGGCTCGCCAGGCCGGGTGTGGGGAAGCTCCAGGTCATCATCTCGTGGCCTGGGGCGCCTCCTGTGTGTGCAGGCCGTGCCCTCCGGGGCTCCCCTTGTCCTCTCCTGCCATGGGACAGGCATGGAGGCAGCCCTTAGGAGCGGACTCATAGGGAGGAAAGAAGACAAAATGAATGAAGGAACAGCCCCTGGGCTGTGAGTTTCCTGCGAGCAGGGACCCCGTCTCTTGGGTCATCACAAAGCTTAGCCCCTATACTGGGTTGAACACAGCCCCCAACAGAGGTGCAACAGATCCTGGAGAACGAATCCTTTCTTAAAGCTATGGCTGGAGTGTGTCCTCTGGCTGTTTGCTGCACCCCTGCCCCCCAAATCCTTCCCAGCAGCCATACCAGGACGAAAAGATTATTGTTTGCAGATGGAGAAACTGCCGCGCTCAGCGAGCACTCTGGCCTCGGCTGGCTGCGTCTCCAGCCGGGCAGGCAGAGGCTGACGCCCGATGCCCGAGGGGCACGCGCCTGTCACCAGAGTTAGCTGGTTTCCCAGATGCGTTTGTGCCCCACCAGCAATGACGCCCTGGTAGTGGGGGTGAGGCTCGAGCCGCTGGGGGTGGGGGGTGGGCAAGCAACCCCGCCACAAAACAGCCCCTCCAGGATGCGGCAGAGATCTCTGCTTGTCCTCTGGATGGTGCCCCTTTGAGAGAGAGTCACAGATGCAAACTACCCCCACCGCTTCTCAAAGCTCAGCTCAGAGCGCCAAGCCTCCCTCCCCAGCTACCCGCAGTCGGGTGAGTCACACTTAACAACCCTCACAAACGGTGGGACGAGAAACCAGCCCTGTTTGGCATCGTGGAAAGTTCTCTCCATACCAAACTCAGAAGCCCCCTGGGCCAGGCAGGTATGGAGAGTGAGGCTGCTGGCCTGTGGGGACAATGGGGTGGGGGGGACTGATGCTCATTTGCGGCCCCTGGGAAGGCGGCTCACCGTGGCTACATCTTATGCTTTTTCAAGAGAAGCTAGAGACCAGGGTATTTGAGGTGGTAAAAATCTCCCGATTTTTCAAATGCTGGCAGTGAACCCCAAAGATTTCTGATACCGAGCAGGCCAGGGTGCACCCCATTAGTTAGTGGCTGTCATTTGAGTCAGAAAGCCCAGGGCGGAAGAAAGGACATTGGTGGAGGAATTTTCTGGATCCACAGGGCTGGTTGGCTCCAGTGGAGCTCAAGTGTAATCATGTTTCAGGTGCAACCATGACCCTCCAGGGAGCCGGCTCCCCCCTTCCCCTGCATCTCTCTGCATCCTGGGGCCCCTTTCCTCCCCTCCAAACCTCCAGGCACACCAGCTTCCTTCTCCGGGTCATCTCTGTCTTCAACCTGACTTTTTAGGGATGTGTCCCACCAAGCCCCCGGCCTCTGCCTGGAGAGCACCCCATGCTGGGGCCCTAGCCAGGGTACACAGACAACGCAGGGGTGCCCACTGCCTCCTGGGGAGGGCTCTGAGCAGAGGTGACTCAGCACCACGGCTTTTAGCCTCACAATTCAGACCCTGCATCTCTCCCCCCACGCCCGCCTTGCTCACCCGGAGAACGGCGCGCTACAGGGGATCTGAGCTTTGCTCTTCCCACTTCCACTACATCTAGGAAACCAACCCATGTTAGTTCATAGAAATCTGCTTCGTTCTTTTTCAAAAAAATTATATACAATTTAAAAAGTGTGGTAAGGCATGCATACCTAAAATTGACTCTTTTAACCATTTTCATGTGTGCCCTTCTGTGGCATGAAGGACAGGCATGTTGTGCAGCCCTCACCCGCGCTGGCCTCCAGAACGCCCCCACCTCCCCAAACAGAAGCTTGGTCCCCACGAGGCACCAGCTTTCCACTCTTCCCTGTCCTAGCCCCCGGCGCCCGCCCATCTGCTTCTAGAAGGCCTGGGGGGTGTCCTCCAGCGTCTGTCTTTCTGTGATGGGGTGGCTTGCTGAACTGAACGGGGTGCCTTCAGGGTTCCTGCATGCTGGAGGGTGTGCGAGCGTTTCTGGGGCTGGGTCTGGAGGGTGGGCAGGGGTCTGTCCGGCAGGAAGTGGGGGGCAGGCGGAGGAGCAGGAGTTGTAGGCAGGGAGGCTGGGGTGTGCGGAGGAGGGCGGCGTGCCGTGCTCGCCCGTCCTGTGCTCCGGTCCAGCACCCGGGCACCCTTCTTCACTCGTCTTTCTCCTACTCCAGCATCGGCACCTTTGGCCAGTCCTGCCAGCTCCTCCTGGAAGCTGACCCAGAGTCAGACCCTCCCGCCCCCCACCAAGTGGTCCGAGCCAGAGTGCCCTCGGTGGCGTTTCTGTGGTAGCCCCTCTCTCTGCTCTGTCCTTGACCCCAGCACCCTGCACAGGGCCAAGGGTGGCCCGCGGACCAGCACCAGCCATGCCGGGTCCCCGGCTCTGCCGCAGGCCTGGCCCAGCAGAACCTACATGTTAACTGGCCTTCCAGGGGATTCGTGCATACGTTCCAATCTGAGGAGAGCCCCCCATCCTTGGGGGACTGCCGTCCTCCGTGGAGGAGCCAGAGTGAGCCTCTTGAGTGAAGTCAGGTCAAATTTCCACTGCGACTTCTATGGCACAGACGATCAAAGCCAAGGTCCCCACCAGATCTGCTCCCTCACCTCTGCCCCCATCTCTCAACCTGGGGCTTCTCCTGCGGCCTCCTCCTCTGGCCTGGACTGCTCTCTCTCTGAGTCATCACGTGCTCACTCGTCTCCCCCTTCCCTGACCGTCCTGCATAAACGGGAGTCTGCACCTCAGGCCTGCTTTTCCCTGTGCCCGTGTTCTCTGTGTTTGATTAAATAAGGGCTCCTGGAACCTGTGAGCGGTCTCTTGGGTAGAAAAAGGATCTCTGTGGATGTGACTGCATGAAGGGTCTTGAGGTGGGAGACAATCCTGGATTATCAGGTGGGCCCTGAACGCTACCACGGGTGTCCTTAGAGGAGGGAGGCAGACACTGGAGCGAGGTGGCCACCAGAAGCTAGAGGGGCGTGGGAGAAGTCAGTCTCCTCCCCAGAGGCTCCCCTGGGAGTGCGACCCTACTGACACCTTGATTTCAGCTCTGTGGTCCTGACTTTGGACTTCTGACCTCCAGGCCTGTGAGAAAATAAATGTCTCTCGCTCTAAAACCACACAGATGGTGGTCGTTTGCTAATGCAGCCACTGGACACTTCTAGCCCTCGGAGGTAAGGTGTGCTTACTGTTTGTCCCCCCCAGAGACACAGCAGCCCGTGGCGGGGACGGCACTCGGCAGGGGCTGAGCAGCTGTGAGCTGAGCGGACACCGTCCTTGGCTGACTCTACTGGCCGGTGCTGTGAGGCCGGCCAGGCTGGAAAGATCAGCAGGCTGGGTGTAGAGGATACCCATCCCCATCTCACCTGTCGCTTAACCAGAAAGATGGAAACACCCCAACGACACCAGGCCAGTGAGAAAAGAGAGTGAGGGGAGGGAATTTTCCAGGCTGTGTTTTTTATTTTACTATTCTGCTCTGATTTTGTATCATTCCTCTCCCATGCTTTTCTTTAAAGGTTTATTTATTTATTTTAGAGGCAGGATGTGGAGAGAGAGTGTGTGCGTGCACACGCGTGAGTGGGGGCAGAGGGAGAGAGAGAATCTCAAGCAGACTCCTGGCTGAGCACGGAGCCTGATGTGAGGCTCGATCTCTCGACCCTGAGATTGTGACGGAGCCCAAATCGAGGGTCTGATGCTCAGCTGACTGAAACGCCCAGGTGCCCTCTCTTGCAGATTTTCCTACGTGAATATATGCTTTTTCCCTGTAAGACTGTGTCTCTCACATACAGACCAGTGTTGGTGCTGTTTGCCACACGCTGGCTCCTGGGTCTGTCCCCATGTGATTCTGTAAGACGTGAGTCCCAGAGACTTATGCTCTGTGGATGAGTCCTACTTTACGGGACGGAGCCTTTATACTGAGACTGTCTGGATTTTTCCAACGTCAGAGTCAGAGTCCCGAAACTAAAGGCAGGAGGGACTTCAGGAGACATGCGGGCCTCTTCCCTGCCGTCCCTACTTGGGAGCCAGGGGAATCCATCCCACCCCTGAGCTGGGAGCTGGCCGTGGGCTCTGAGGCAGGTGCCGGGTGCCATTCCCCGATCACGAGTCTCCAGGTAAGACCGCAGGCACCTGTTTCATCTCTGGGGCTCTAATTCCTCCAAATAGGGTAACGGCACCTGCCTCCCTAGGTTGATACAGGGTCGAGTGTCACCGTAAATGTAAAGTTTGTAACTACCACCCTTGTTAGATTTCCGATGCCCAGGCTGTTCTGAGCACATGGTCCGAGAAGGAGTTTTTTCCTTGAGCTGCCAGTGAGGTCACAGAAAGGGCATTGGATTAGAACTTGGAAACCTGACTCTGACCAGGTTACATAATTAGCTACACCCTTGGCTACATAATTAGCTAACACCGTCTGCTTCCTCCGAGGGCCGGTTCTGCTCTGCCCGGCCCCCAAGAACTCTGTCCCCAAGGCCACAGCCCCACAGACATCTGCAGACAGAGGACAGGCAACGGCAGACTTTCTCTGTAAAGGACCCAAGAGAACACGCTTTCATCTCTGCAGGCCGGACAGTCTCTGCAGCAACTTCTAACGGGAAAGTGGCCCAGACTGTATGCAAATGAATGGGCATGGCTGCCTGCCAATAAAACTTTATTTGTAAAAAACGGGTTGTGGAATTCATAGAGGCAGAGAGTAGAGTAGAGGTTACCAGGGGCTGGGGAGTTCTTCCCTCACGGTTACAGTTTTGTTTGCGGTGATGAAAACTTCCGGAGGCCGACCATGGTGATGGTTGCCCAGCAGAGAGAACGTGCTGCATACCACGGGATTGTGCACTTAAAAATGGGTAATATGGTAAATTTAATGTTACGCATATTTTAACCACAACGAAAATGGTGAAAATAGCCAATTGTATGTCTCAAATATTTGATTAAAAGTAAAAACAAAAAAAAATAAAAGAAAAAAACTCGGCCGGGGGCCAGATTTGGCCTGTGGGTCGCTGCTCACGGACATCTGCAGGGTCCTGCCACGGGACCCCCTCCTTTGCCACATGAAATCTACCCAGTCCTCATTTCTGCGTCTCCCTGGCATCGCGGTGTCTTGCTCTAAAACCAGGACTGTGTTTCTGGGTTCCTTAAGGCCACCCACCTTCTTCTGGACACGGGCTTAGCAAGGAACATGGTGCTCCCAATGGTGCACCCATCGGGGATGCCCGGGGGGCTCGTGGTCTCCCCAGTGTAGGTCAGCACACAGGTTCCTCTGTAGCTCAGGATGGCCCTTGATTCCCTGTGGTTCCAACCCCACTAGCTCAGACTGGGCAGGCAGCCAGCTAAAGAAAAAGACGTGGCCACTCTTCATCTGAACCGTGGCAAGGTGGGCCCCTCCTCCCTGACGTACTGATTTTTCTGGACAATAACTGTAGGATTTAATGTGAAAATTCCGCTTGCTCTTTCACTCAATCCTTTTCACCTGCCAGGACCTCTGAGAACCCCGAATCTGTCATGCATTGTAGCTGCTGTCCTCCCAGCTTTGTGTCATCAAGAAATGACTTCTAGTATATTCATATGAGTCACTGTCTATGTGATGGAGACGCGGCAGGGGCCGGAGCCTGCAGGGCGGTCGCTGGGTCATTCCTCAATACTCTTCGGGTGCAAGGCATCCGTTGGTGACAAAAATCGCCTAAGCTGGACGCTTAACACCCAGCCACTTCTCTGGGTCTTTCTCACAAGGACATCGTGCATGGGGTAGCGAGTGCCATTTGGAAATGAAGTCACCCCCCCACCCAGCAAAAGGGGAAGAGACGAGTCAGACATAGTGATTTTGGGTGAATCACACGGGCTCCGGGGCTCCAACCTTCTATGCTAAGTACTTGCCACTAATCCGGTGGCTAAAGGCAAAGCAATTTCCCGAACCTCAAAAACTCCTTTCCCCTGAGACCGTCCAGAGCTAGAGCCTCAAAACAAGGGCAAGGCGCTCTACAGCCGGCTGCTGTCATGAAAGGAAAAAGGGATAAAAGCGCAAATGAAATACATTTAGATTTTGACAGAAGCAAAGCTTTTCCTTTGGAAACTTGACTGGGCAATCACAGCGAACGAGGTCTCAGATGAGCGCACTTATTAATTTTTAAATGCAACCTTCCCGAGAGTAAGCAGGGCAGACGTGAGGACAGCTCCGCGGGCAGATGTCCAGGGGTCTCGGAGCAGATGTCACTGCCCTCCCTTCCCAGAGAATCACTCTGCTGCCCAGAAGTGCGCCCAGCCTTGGGGTGCGCAGGCCCCTCCCCAACAGACTCTGGGGGCACCTGCTCACAGCGAGCAGAGAGGAGCCCCAGCGAGCGCCCTGGGCTGGCGGGCTGGCGGGCTGGCGAGCACAGGCTGAATGACAGTGAGGGGAAATGGGGGGGCGCGGGGGCTGGGTATTCGCAGACTCTGCTTTCCAAACAACCCCAGCAGGGGCTGAAGTGGCAGATCCCGGTCGGTACTCTGCCTGAGCAGCTTAGAAAGACGCGCAGCTGTGTACTTGGGAGAAGAGGGGCCCCTGGATTTTCCCGGCTAGCGGGGGACTGGGTGCTATGCAGGTGAGGAACCCGAGATTCTGGGCCTTTTGGGGATCACAGACGCCCCAAGGCACCCAGCTGCGAAGGGCAGGCACCGGATTTGGCATCTTTTAACGCTGCCGTGGCTCCCCTCACCCTTCCTGCTGCCCCAGAGGGCCACGGCACCCTTGAGTGGCGGCCACTGTGAGCGCCGGCCCAGTGGTTCATGCGGCGGACTCAACCAGGTGCCCACCGTGGCCAGCCTCTGCTGGGACCTGCGGCCTGTGGGAGCCCCGTCTTACCTCATCGGTGATCTGGCCTCCGAAGGTCACCCATGTTCCTGGAAGGAGACACATGGGCTCAAGTCAGAGAACCTCTCCAGGGAGCTTGCCACCCCGCCCCCACACCCAGGGTGCTCGGCCCTCAGGTTGCAGGGCCTGGGGGACAGCCACAGGCCACCATGCCACTCGCTCTGCAGTGAGCACGTCCCCAGCACGTGGGGACACTAGGCCTTCAGGGCAAGTCTCCCTCTCTTGGGGACACCAAACCGGGGGACAGGAAGTGCCCGGAGCAGGCAGAGGACTGCAGGTCTTTGAAATGCTTGTTGGGGCTCAAGCCGATGGGCTCCTACTCTGGTGACCTGCCCCAGGGAGCAGGACGAGGAATGCCCCCCGTGAAAACGGGGCAGTCTGACAGCCATGCCCTCGTGCTTGCTGGGCAGCACATGTGTGTGTGTGCGTGTGTACCTGTGTCTGTGTTCAGGGGTGTGTCGGGAGCATACTGTGGGTACCAGGGAGGGGGAGGGACAGTGTATTCTGGGAACAGAGCTCACATCTGGGGAAAGCCTAGATAAAAGGGCACAAGCCATCTGCCCTCTATGAGGACTCAGTCTTGCAAAGAGAGAAGATGCTCTCCGGACACACCTGGGGCCAGGGGCCTTCTCTGATTTTCTGGTGTGAGGCAGGGGTCTGTGCGTGCACAAGGCCTCTGGTGCTCCCCTCGCCTCCCCTATCCCTCTCCTGAGGCACCCCCCAACCTCCTGGTTGCTGTGGCAACTGAGCCTCACCATCCCCCTAATCCTGGCTCCCAACCCTCCCCCCAGGGCTGGCCCCTTCAGCCCTCCCAAAGCCCCAGCCTCCCGGGATGGCATTGGACCAAGGGAGCCCCCACACTCACCGAGCCCCAGGCAGGAGACCCGCAGGCCCGACTTGCCCAAGTTCCTGGAAAACAAACTTGGTGTAAGTTCTTGGTGACAGGGACAGGACCTGCCAGCCAAGCACAGCCCTGCCCCCTCTGCTGTTCCCAAAGCCCAACCCCCAGCTTGAACCCCCCCTCCAGTCAATGTATCTTTTGAGACTCTGAAGGCAAGGGGTCATCTGGAGAGAGGCCTGTGGCTCACCGGCCTTTAGGCATAAAGAGCCAACTGTCCGTCCCCCCGCCTGCCATGCCCACGCCAGAGCATGGCCACATGGCCAGGCCACGCTGGTGACCACAGTGGGGCCTGGAGAGCCTCCTCGAAAGAGATCAGGGGAATGCGATGATTGAGGCCTGGTGGTACCCGGTCATCACGGGCCTGCCGAGGTACCTGCCGGATGAAGATCCCAGGGTCCACGTGAAGGGGCCACAGCCATTACTCATGTCCTTAGGAGGTCACGGAGGGTGGCCGTGCTCTGCTGAGGATTGGGATGGCCACCTGTCCTGGCCTGTTTGTCCTGGCACAGGCTGGCTGGGGCCCACAGGAGCAGCCACAGGCCGGAAGGTCTTCAAGCATCACGTCCTCTAACTCCCACTGCTCTGTGGGTCAGGGCCTTCCTTTCCCCACATTCCCATTTTACACAAGAGCACACTGGACCTGCCCAGGAGCCGAGGGGCCAGGAGTCCACTGGGCTCCCCACCACGATGGCGCGCGCCTTTCCCCATTCACGGTGGATGCAGGATGTGAGCTGCTCACATGGTGAGGTCCATGGGCAGGGTGGGATCCGCTCCCCTCGGGGCACACCCGCGGCCAGCGTCCTGGTCCTGGGACCAGCCCAGGCTGCAGCACCCAGCCAGGCAGTGGAAAGTCAGGGAGTTGTGACAGACTCAGAGGGTGAACCCCAGCCTCCTTCCCTGAGGGCTTCAGCGTTTCCCTGTGTCCTCAGTGTCTCTACCCAAACCCGGCCCCCTCGGACCCTCTGAAGCCTTGGTTTCCTGCTTCCCAGACCCCAGGACCCTGCCCATGTCACAGGCGGTCACAAGGGGTGGGGAGGGGATGTAACAAACTTGTAAACGGTTTGAGTCACCAAATTTTAAAATAGTTCTAGAAGGCCCAGGTTTCTTCTCAAATTTCCCATTGAAACCGTCCCGGCTGCCAGCCCACTGTTCCTGCAGGGAGCGATGGAATTTTCCCTACGCAAGTTCAGAACAGCTGCTGGTACCTGTCAGGGAGGGGAGCCACTCGAGCAGAGGCTCTGAAGCCACAGCTGAAACCCTGGGTGCATGATGTCACCTGCTGCCTCAGTGTACCCCTCTGCAGAACGGGCTCCCAGGGCTGGCCGCAAGGGTGAAACGAGGTAACAGGTGACCAGGTGTCACAGGACGCTGACCCTGCCTTTTCCTCACGTGAGAAGCAACAGACAAATCAAAGAGCTTTGCAAAGCTACTGAGTTAAAAAAACGGAAGCCTTCCCTGTTCTTCTCCCCTAAAAATCAGTGAAATAATCTGACGGTGCCCTCAGCCCACGGCTCCTATGATCCGACCCAGAGCAACTTGGGTTTGCGGCTGCCGGAAAGGAAGGCGATATGTTACCATGTTGTAAGCGTGCACAGTGCTATCGCCTCTCTACAAGCCTGTGGGAACATACTCAGAACATTCCTGATTTATCTTCTGATTTGCCATGAGAGTTAAAATACACCGTGCACGAAATGTAAGGGCTGAGCAGTCGAAGACAGGACTTAAAGCTTTTCTGATGAACTTCGAATCACGCTTGAATTGATCTTGCTTCTAAGCAGAAAGTTAATTTGTGTTTTGTTGTCTATACATAAACTGGAATTAAAAAGTCGTGTTTTTTAATAAAAGGAAGAAAGGCGCCACCGTATCATCTATTGATCGTGCATCGGGCCAGGCCTGCTCAACAGTGCAGGTGATTGTCCCCCCGTTAGCTAGAAAGTAGCTGTGGCCAAAAATCAGAGCCTTCCTTGCAAGCAGCCTGGAAGAAACAAGGGATCCAAGATTCTGATCAGTAGTTCCTCACTGCTCGGGGTCACAGCCCCTTTGAGAAACGATAAAGGCTGTGGACCCATTCCCTGGAAATGCGCAGGACACAAAGACCACTGGACCCTGTGTGCAATGCCCGGGCACTCCCAGGGCCTCGGGCAGCTGGTCTCCATAAATGCAGGTGCTGGAAGGGAGGCTGAGTTCCCGACTCGGCAAAACTCCCACTAGTGACCGTGGGAAGGAGTTTCCTGGCCAGGCTCTGCGGAAGGCTGCATTTTAGGTACATCCTCCTGAAAATCCCTTTCACCAGTGTGGAACCAGATGCGTGCACACGCTGAGTGTTTGGGGAGGGGGATGAGTGGCTTTAGCAACAGACAGATGAGAGCACAGAACTGCGCTCGCCTGGGTCTGTAGCTGAAAGGGGCGCCTGGCACCCCTTGCCCACCAGAGTGGGCCAGGACCCAGGGCATTCAGCTCTCCAGCTGCTTCCCCGCCCACTGCCCACAGGAGTAATTTAACAAAACTAGGGCACCGCGTGATGCTGTAATTACCCCGCTCAAGTTGTCTCCCCGATAAAATGACGGTATTAGTTCTGCCATCCACTGGCAGTCCTCGGGAGAAGGAATGAGAAGGGACAGGGTATCTCCAGGCAAAATGCTTTATAAATACGGCTGCTCAGTGCGGGTGGGGAGCGCCACCAAGTCCGCCTCTTCTGGACCGGGGCTGGGGACACGCTGCCCCTTGAAACCCCCTTGAGACTCGAACATTGAACATCGTCTCCTATAGTTTTCTCCCCTAATTTGGTCGACCTAATGACAAAGTAGTTGGCTAACTCTCTAAACCCAAGCGATGCTGGCCTCCATGGATTGCCTCATATCTCTCCTGTCATCTGGAAAAACGCTAAGGAGGACTCGTGGGTTTAACCTCTGCCGGAGGATAGCGCCGATGCCCAGGATATTAGCCACCAGGTGCCCTCACCCCTTGACACTGCACTGTGGACCCCAGGAATTACTGACCCTTTAAAAAGAGTCCAAGGCCTTTAAATTCAGCCAAGTGGTGGAGGACAACACGTTGAGCCGGTGACAGAGCAACGTGGTTCTAATGAGCTTGTGGGAGGAGTGTGGGAGATGGGGTGTTTGCGGGGCAGCCATTAAAATGGGGGTGAGATGACCCGTTGATAGGTCCGTCCCGCGCCCAGTCTCCAGGCTCCCTATGACAGGCCCTGGCTTCTAGGTCTTCGGCCTCAGATGGTAGCGGCCAGCAGGGTCTCGGGGGTGTTTGCTGGGTAACTGGGGGGGCGAGAAGCCCTCGCATAGGTGCCAGGCCCTTGGGGCGGAATGCTGGCCCCTCCCCTTATCCACAGGACTTGGCATTGTGCTTTTCCCACACTGAGTGAGCCCCTCTTGGGTCCCTGAGCGAGAATGTGGCACTCTGGCCACCCACCTTTAGTTCCCTCAACACCAAAGGGTGTGGCTGGAGGCACCTCCTGGCCAGCTTCCTAAGGAGGCGGTCAGAGTGGGGGGTAACGAGCAATCAGGCCCCCTGCGGCCCCCATCTGCATCCTAGCTGTGGCCCTGGGATGGTCACTACGGAGCAGCTCCGTGGGGCAGGCACCCAGCTATAGGGCAGGCAGCCTGTACTCACATGGGCACCCAGTGGTTGGGATTCCGGCTCCCACTTCAGCCTCTGTGAAACCACAATTCCTGCGGGTGTATGAAGCCGCCTTCCTCCCCCACACTGTCGAGCAAAGCTCAGCGGGGCACACGCAAGGACAGATGGGGTCCCCCAGTTAGGGAGCGCTGAGGCTGGGATCTGAACCTAGCTCCTCACGCTGCAAAACCCCCAGCCTAAGGAGCATCTCCCCTTACCGTCCGTCTCACTCTCCTGGCCTCTTGCACAAACAAGTGCACACACATGCACACACATCTGTGCAAATACACAGCACACACGCGCCCACGGGCAAACACACACAGACACACATAGACACACATGCGCACACTGTTATCTCGAGCACCCAGGCTCTTCAAGATTTACTCCTTAACGGACCATAGGATCCTCGGCCGGAAATCATGTTAATACCCGGACTTTCCATTACGTGGCACTTCAGGTTTTTTTAGAAATGGCCTCACTTACATTAGCTCTGTTAACGATTCCAGGATTGACTTAAAAATAGCAGCAGGGAACAGGTATGTAACCTGAAATACAGTGTTTACTCTTAGCTTTGGATCCCCACGTAACACGAGGCACAAGCTAGCAGGGCTTCTAGACTAGAGAAGTCCATTCTGGAGCGTCCTCCCACCCAAGCTTTTCCTCCGGAGGCCCATACAAGAGAATCAAACGCCCCCGAGGACCCAAGGGAGGAGAGGGTACGGGCGGAGAGGCAGAAGGACTCAGTTTTCCCCAAATTCCCCATCACGCGGCCTGGGACTCCACACGGTCCTTTCACGTGTGGTCCGACTTTGGGCACCGGTTTGGGGAGGTAGAAGCTCTACCTCTGGGTGTCGGAGTGAGCCTCTCAATACTTTCCAAGTTGGCCGCGCCACCAGCTAGAAACCCAGACACGGTCCTCAGAGACAGCTAGAACCTTCCGTGGCTCCTTCTGAGCCTGTGTGACTCTCTGGGTCCAGCTGACGTGGACTGTTTGCTCTAAGAACATCATTTTCCAGGAGCATCCTTCTAGAAAGGGTGAAGGGCTGAGAAAGGCCAGACCCCCCCAAGACAGCTGCCCTATGCCCCTGCCCCCAGGGGTCTTTTGTACAAAGCTGGGACTGTCCTCTTCCAGCCGGGGGCACCTGGGGCACATCTGAGCAAGGCCCAGGGTGGGGCGAGGGGTACATGCGGGGAGCAGGAGGACGGTCCCTGCCGCTGACACCCTCGGCACATAGAAGCCTGGTGGTGGACAGAGCCCAGGCAGAGGCACATGGGACAGCCGGGGCTCAGCCACCAGCAGGGACGTCCCGATGCTGCCCTGTGCCCTGCGGAGTCATAGTCCCCCGTGGAGGAGCCCGGGCCAGGGGTCCAGCTCAGGTCTGGCAGGGAAAATTAATTTCATCACATGGTTCACTCAATGTTCCCTGAGTATCAAACCAATGCCTGTCGTGATACCCTCACTGCAAAGACCACCCACGGGGCACCTTCTGGGGTCCTGTGTGCCCCAGGGAGGGCAAGGGGGGCAGAAGGCCTGTGGCCAGTGCTGGGCGTTCCCAGGAAGAGAAAGCATCTCAGGGTCCTCTGTGGGTGGCTTGGTTATTGTTACCAATACCCACCCCCCCCACAAGCCCCATCAAAGGAAACGAACGGGCAGAAGGAAGAGAAGCCATCAAGCACCTTCCTGTCCCCCTGCAACCCCCTCACCCCGCGGTGGTGAAGAAAGAGACTTGGGGCTGAGCCCGAGCCCTGACGGTATTTCTCACCCAGTCCGTGCGGCGCTAGGAGACCCCCCCACCCCCGCCCGGCCTCTCAGGATGCCAAGTGCCCACATCTGACCACGGATTTGCAGATTTTCCTGGCCCTCTCTGAGGCGGGTGATGGGGGGCAGCCTGAACCCCTGAAGCCCCCCGGGGCCCCGTACCTATATTTCATCCCCGGCTGTTTCACGCTGGTGTCACCGGCGCATGGGAGGCTCTGCGTGGACAGATGTCCCAGGCTCCGGGCCACCATGGCCACGGCGCGGAAGCGGCCACGGGAGCCCAGGCTGGGGCTGCTGGCTGCCGGCCGGCCCAGCCGCTCCTCGGTGCCCCGGCCCTTGAGGCTGTGCTCCGAGCACACGAAGGACACCTGCATGCCGATGCCGGACGCCCCGCTCCGGGCCGCGTCCCCCTCCTTCCAGGCCTCCAGAAGCCCTCCTTCTCCCAGGACGAGACTTTATCTCAGAACGCCAGGAAGCTGCGAGGCGTTCCTTCAGGGGCGAGGATCTCCCAAAGCAACGATAGAAAAACCTGGCGCGGTGTCCGAGGGAAGGGAATCAAATGTCCAGAATCCTGCTAGCAAAGACCTCATCGGAGGGCACCCGGCAATCCAGGTGGGGAGGGGGATCCATTTCCTCTCCCCTCACATCTTTCTCTGGCTCGGCAGGTCCTTCCCCTGCCCTCACCCTGGCGTGGCTCCGGCTGTCCCAGCCCCCAGCCCAGCAGCGTCCCAGGCTGCCAGTTACTCCCGACCTCCGCGCGACATCGCTGTCCTCCGAGGGAGAAGGGAGGGCGCCTCCCGACAGGGTGAGAGCCTGGGGGCTAAGCAGGCTGCTGCTGAGGGTGGGGTGGGGGGCACCGGGGAGCAGCTGCTTTTCCAGGCTTCCCAGAGCCCAACTCCTGGCTCTGCGCACCCCGGGTTGTCGGGGCTCCCACCAAGTCAATTAGGTGACCGGTGAGAAGTGCAGGAGCCATCCAGCGATTTATTATTGATGACACGGGATGCACAGCCGTCTGCCCTGGGCTGATCCCTGGGAGGCTGGCTCCGGCTGCTCCAGGCTGACAGCCGGGACTCATCAGACAGGCGACAGGCGGCCGCGGCCAACTCTAGCTGCTTGCGGCTCGCACCCAGCGATGTGGGGCTTCCACTAGGTTTCAGCACAAGCAGAAGCCGAATCACCCGGAATGTGGAGAACAGACCACTCTGTCTAGATGGTGTAAGGCAGACAGCCCGAGGAGAGAAAGCTGGGGGTCGTGAGCCAGAGACCAGAGACGTTCTAGCACTCCCGTCCTTAGCTCCCGGCACACTGCAGTAAATACTTCTGGAGTGGATGCGTGAATGAATGAGGAAAGACACCTTCCCCTGCTACTCTGTCCTCCTTGCCCACACTCATGGGCTCAGGCTAAAGCTGGGAGCAAGGCTCTCCTGGAACAAAGCTCATGGGGTGTCTTCAAACCCCCAAGAGATGCCCCCAGAGGCAGGAGGGGCTGGCTTGGGCCCTGACCCTGAGTGTGCCGCCCTTGCCCTGCAAGGTGAGCCTTGGCCAAAGCTACTCTTCAGCTTCTTTCTTGCCACGAGGGAGGGGCAGAGAGAGAGAGAGGAAGAGAGCAGGTGGTGGGGTCTTGTTCAGGTTCTGCAGCTAATTTGCTGTGTGATGACAGGCAGGGGGCTTGCCCTCTCTGGGCCTCCACTGACGAAATGAGGGGCATGGTCCAAGAAGATGCTGTCTCCCCCAGCTTGGACCCACGGGGCCGCCGCACCAGCTGGCGGTCCACCCTCTACTCTGACAGGACCCAGAAAAGAATCCACCCAAAGATATTCAGGATGGAGGGCGCCCAAACTTGCTCTCAGCCCTGGCCCTGCCTTTTTGACACGGATGTTAAGAATGAAATCTTGTTCCTCTCCCGGCCTCTCTGCTCCTGAGCTGTGCAGCCTCGGGCAAGTGACTTCCTCTCCAGGCCTCAGTGTTCTCTGTGTCTGACGCAGATCACAGAGCGTGGTCAGATCACAAATGGCATGGACTCCCAGGATCCCGCAGCATGAAGGATTTTTGGAGGTGGGAGTCAGTATAGGCCTGCTCTACCCCCACCTCTTCATTGGTAACTGTACCCCTTTTGTCCTCCCTGAGCCTGCTGTAGCAGCAGGAGACACCTCCTGACTGCGATACCCAGACCCAAGGACAGAGCTGGGGCCTTTGCCAAGGGTGCCCTGGCAGGTCACAGACACCACCTTCAGATGCCACTGGGGGCGCCTCAGGACCCAGAGACCCAGCTCTGCCTTTTTCATTTACCCGCCCACATAAGCACAGGCCTGCCTGGCCCTCCCTGCCGCTCTCGAGTGCCAGGGCCGGAAGGTGGAAGGGCAGTCTGCAGTGTTGACCCTACTCAGCAGCTGACCTTTCCCTGAGTTGGGCTCTGGCCTTTAGGAAGCCCACAGGCCTGCCAAAGAGGCTGCAGAGGACAGAGACGGCCTCCACTTCTTCCAGGGCTCGTGAGCTAATGGTCTAGGGCAAGGTTGCTCAGAGGTCTGACCCAGATGCTGGGGAGGGGGGCGGTGGGGGGGGACTTGCTACAGTTGCAGATTCCTAGGTCTCATGCTGACCTACAGACTCAGCAACTGTGGGGCTGGGTCTGGGAAGCTTGTTTTTTTATCAAGAGCTTCTAGTGGGGCTGTGCACCTGCTCTAGCGGAGGCGGAAGTCTCCTGCTTCATTCTTCCTTAGATATTTCATTTCTCTGCGCTCTGGCAAACGATCAGATCTGGCATCTTACTACTCCCCAGGGCCTCCTCAGACGGCGTGCCTTAAGCAGCTCCAGGTTAAGTAAGACTCACAGAGACTTAGTCGCCACAATGTGTCAAACATCATCTGCTTCACCGTACAACCCAGTGATTCCACTCCTAGGTACGTGCCCAGAGAACCAAAAACATATGCCCACACAAAAATCTTAAACACGAAGGTCCAGAGCAGCATTATTCATCACAGCCCTGAAGTGATACAACCAAAATGTCCATCCATTGATAATGGAAAAACAAAATATGGTCCATCTACACAACAGCATGTTATTAGCCATACGAAGGAAAAAAATAAGCAACACATGCTCCGACGTGGACGGACCTTGAAAATGTTACGCTAAGTGAGACAAGCCAGTCACAGAAGGCTACATGTCATAGGATTCTGTTTGCATGAAGTGTTCAGAAGAAGCAAATCCATTTAGACAGTAAGTAGCTTTGAGGTTGAGTGGGGAGTTGGGGAGGGATGACTCATGTGGGTGTAGGGCTTCATTTTGGAGAGATTAAAATGTTCTAAAATTGATTGTGCTGACTTTCGTACAACTCTATGAACGTACTGAAATCACTGAATTGTACACTTTAAGCATCTGTATGGTATATGAATTACATCTCAATAAAACCGTTGCAAAAAAAAAAAAAAGTCATCTGCTTCAAAAGCCTCTGGGCCATACTCTCGTACTTCCCCGTGAGAGTGCCCTTCCTATTTCTCTGGCTCCGAAGTCCTCCTCACCCTCTGATAATACGTGCAGGGTGAAGCCAGTCCCCCAAGCACCAGTAACCTTTCCCTCCTCCAGATGCCACCAACTATGTTCTACCCAGTGATACACCATGGTGCGAGGAACCAGTTGCTGGTTTCTGGTGGCAAGGAGCACCCCTCCCAGATGTTGGTAGGACTGAGCAGGGTCCTGCGCTGGTCCTGAGCTAGTCCTCGCTCCATCCCATTGTTACGTATCACGGAAACGACGGATGTGAATATTTGACGTCAGAACTCCCTGTGGAAATCCAGGACAAAGAGATGCTGTTCTCAGCAGAGAACTGTCATGTGGAGAAGACGGGCAGGGGGATGTTTAAAGGCTGACCAGAGTCTGTAACTTTCCACTTGCCTAAAACAGGGTTCACGACTTGCCATACTCATAGGCAGTCACAGGAATTAGACAAGAGTGGAAAAGCTGGAAGCTTTATCCCTTGAACCAAACTGGCCATGATGAAAAGTCATCCCGAAAGGGCCACTCTTTCGGATGGTTTAGGGGAGGAGGGTGAATTCCAGACCTGCGATGGTCGACTTGAGATGGGCTTTGAGCAGAAGCAGTGAGTGTGGCTGGTGGATTTTGACACATAAGTTTTCTGGGTTTTCGGCCTCTCTAGTAGCTGCTGTTGTTACAACAAAACAGCTAGTTCCAGCTGCGACTCCTCAGAGACAAGCACCCCAATTTAAAGCTCTCCTCTTTGTCCGCAGAATGCCGCTACAGAGAGCTGCTCGGAAGAGAAGCTTCCGGCCCAGCCACCCGGGAGGGCAGGAGAGACAGGAAAGCTTCAGCCCAGCCAGGCCGGCTCCTCCGAGATGGGGACAGGCTCACCGTGGGAGGCGACGGGCACTCTCCCATCCACAGCGAGGCCCCTGGAAGCCTCAAGGCCTGGAGTAGAAGTTGTAAAGATGACTTTTAAGAGCGCAGACTAGTCTTCACTCCAGAGTGAGGACGAGGCGCGCCTGGGTGGCTCAGTGACTTAAGCGCCCCACTCTTGGTTTCTGCTCGGATCCTGATCTCACGGTCCATGAGATCGAACCCCACATCAGGCTCCAGGCTAAGGATGGAGTCTGCTTGAGATTCTCTCTCCCTCTTCCTCTGCCCCTCCCGCTCATGCTTGCTCACTCTCTAAAATAAGATAAATAAACCTAAAGAAAAAAAAAAGTGAAGATGAGCAGCTGTGCCTGCAGCGGCCAGGGCGCCTCCCCTGCATCAGCAAGGCTGCCTGAATGGGGCATGTTTTGCCCCCAAAGGTGACTTCCTGTCGCAGGGGAGGGGGGTGGATGCTGATGAGTTGATGGTTTCTCCAGTGAATGGGAGGTCCTGCCCCTGAATTTCTAAGCAAAGGGTGGCAGACTGGTGGCCTTCTGGAGGAGGTGTCGTCTGGTAGGTAAGAGCTAAAGACCTCCTGGGGGCTTCCTTCAGGATGTCACACCCCAGTCACGTCCAGCACTAATGGCCCTAGAGTGGGAAAAAGGCCAACCAGTGGCCAAACAGCAACTTTTCTCCTTTCACTTCTTAGTTGACACCTGGTACGGGGCAGCTGTGCTGGCCCAGAGTAAGTGCTCCTGGCACCTTCCGGAGCACCTCTGGGCCAGCGACTCACACAGAAACTGTGCTCCCGGTGCAAGCTGCGTCCCACTGCACCCTGCCAGGTGGATGCCGTGATGGTCCACTCACACTCGAGGAAACTGAGGTACAGAGAGATCAAGTAGGGAAGGCTGACGCTGGGTCCGCCCTCATTCACAGAGGGGACAGGCTGGGAGGGGAGCAGTGTGTTGGGGTCCCGGCCCGCAGAGGAGATCCTGCTCTCGGACCCTCTGATTAAAGGGTGATTAAAGGGCCAGGGGTCCGCCCGGGGTGCTGCCTGGGGCTGTGTATGGATTTGATTGGGCTGTGCTGACCCCTGCCTTTCCAGATGGACAGCACAGAACCAACCACCCTGGTCCCCATCCTTGCCCAAGGAGAAGAGCCTCTTGGGGGTGGGTTCCCCCCAAATATTGGGGTGGAGGCCTAGGGATCCGTACTGCTCACAGACGTGGCCCCTGATTCCTGAGGCCAGGCTGACTGGGAAAACACCTGTTACAGAGAACCCACCAGTGGGGGCATTAGGATCACTGCAGCCCCTTCTGCCCCA